ATTGTAAGACTAGATGTGTGGCATTAGAAGAAGAAGAAAAGGATGGGGAGGGAGGGTACTTGCTTCCACCTTCTCTCTACTCACAAACACACAACTACATCCTACAATAACCCAAGGAATTCTGTACATTACTACTTCATTCTCAAAACACAGCAAAAACCAAAAAGAAACAATGAGTGCATGCCCTTTATTGCAGGCTTGGTTTCAGTTCAGCTGGCTGGTGAGAATGTGGGATGGGTGAAATAAGTACTCCATCATCGGTACAAATAGTCAGCTTGTATGTTAGCAGCAATCTCTGCTTCCCACTTGTCACCATTATTGAGCAGCTTCTCTTTGTTGTACAGAAGTTCTTCGTGTGTCTCAGTTGAATATTCAAAATTGGGACCCTGAAGAACACAAGCAAAATATGTAGTCAGATCAAGTCTTCCATATACTTTTCACACCAAAAACTAGACACTTTGCTCATTCTCTTTTTCAGTAGCTCCACCTTCCAGATACAAATCTAGAATTGGCAGACAAAACGGTATCCTGTTACTGAAAATATCCATTCCATTCACCTCCACAATGGCGTCAACAGGACAGGCTTCCTGGCAGAATCCGCAATAGATGCACTTGGTCATGTCAATGTCATAACGCGTAGTCCTACGGCTGCCGTCAGCACGGGGCTCAGCCTCAATAGTAATTGCCTGCAAGAAAGAAAAAGACATTCTCTCACTAGCAGGTGGCATCCTAGAAGTTCTGGCTTCACAAACCTGGATAATCCATGCTGAAGCAGAGGAAAAGCAAAACCACATTCGTCAATGCTGAAGTGAAAGCAATCTTTTGTTTGGAAAAAGGAGGGCTGAGGAACTGGACACACTGATTTAACAGAACTACAAAGACTAGAATGGAGCAGTAAGTGAGGAGGTCACAAGGCTACAGAGGAGAAGAGCTCACCAACAAGATCTGAACCCTCCCTGTCCCAAGGGAGAGGACTATTCCAAGCAATGGACGGGAAGGCAGAACAGAACTAAGAATCTCCCCACAACAATACGACTCGTGCTGGAGCTTGGTACCAAACAGAAACAAAATACTGCACTAAACAACTGCATACTGCATATGGACAGCAGCTTGCAGATCAGCTCAGAAGACATGCACTCTCACTGCTCAGGAGGAAAGTCCTATGGAGAGTCCAGCCCAAGCAGAGCTGCACCGAGAACTGTTATTTGGGCCACAGTGAACTTCACTAACCCCAGAGAAGCAAATGAGAATGTGCCTCTCAGGTGATACGTCAGCATCCAACTTTCACTTCCGGTATGCACTACTTGGAGAAATGTCCGCCAGAAAGATACTGGATCAGGGAGGAAGGAAACAAGTGACCATAAGGGCCTCACCTGAGCAGGGCATACTGCTTCACACAGCTTGCAGGCAATGCATCTCTCTTCTCCAGATGGGTATCTGCGCAGGGCATGTTCCCCACGGAAGCGGGGACTCAGGGGACCCTTCTCAAAAGGGTAGTTGATAGTGGCAGTCTCCTTAAATATGTAGCTTACAGCCACAGTGAAGCCTGTGAGTAGGGAAGAAAAAGCAAAAAATTTATTTGTTTAAATGCTTAATTTATTCCTTCCCAGGTTCATAATAGGTAAGTAATAGAAAGAAGCCAAGTCAAGGATACAATTGTCCAAAATAATATCCAGATAGAGCCAGAATTGAGCAGATTTAATATCACAGCTTTTTAGTACCATGCTACAAATCTGCTAATTGTCTGTTATCCTAGTACTATAAACATCAATTACCACCAAATTATGAAGTTAGCATATATGCCCCTCTCAGTCAACAGCAGTAAAATATAGCCTGCATATATTCCCCTCTTGGTCACCATTTGTGTTTTTCTCTGACTTCTGTCCAGGCTAAGGTGGAACTATATCAGTTGCCTTCTTGACAATTTCTTTGTTGCCCAAGTTTTAAGGAACATTTAACTGCACATATATAACTAATATAGCATTATATAATGGCTGCTGGTTCAGAATCTTTTAGAGAGAAACTGGTCAAAAGAGCCAAGAGAATTGTTCCTGTTCATTTTTAAAAGGTTCCTGGAATATTTCTGCAGTGACAGATGAAGAACAACAGAGGCAAAGAACTCTGGCTACTAAGTAGACTGCTAGTATAGTATGATATCCTATTTACTGTGGGTGGAGGGCAACGCGCCACGCAGTGTGCTTCCGAACTCTTCACCAACACTGCCTCTTCCTCCCTCTATACACAATGGTGAGGGAGGGGATACCAGTTTTGCCTCCTCCACCATGGCTACAGCAGGGGGCTGAACACAGTGCACACTTTTGCTTGTGCAAGTGATGCAAGGCAGCAGCATTAACTGAATGAGATCTTTGAGTGGTTCTGAACAGATTGTCCATTTTGTTGTCACTGCAGCATGATCTATGCTGATGTAACCTTGCACATGCTCTGCAAAAGCCTCCTGCTTTACAGGCAACAGACTGCTGCACAAGTGGAAGGGGATGACAGGCTTCTAGCCCATAATTAAGAAATAAAGCAGCAGCAGGAAGGGGTCAGCAGGATAATGGAGTACCCAGTCAACTGCCTGTATTGCTATTTCCAAGAATATTCAAATATTGCAGGACATGAGATAAAAATGGCACTCAAAAATGTTATGTATGGCCAGCCATAGTGTACCCTTTATCATGGTTTGGGACAGAAGCAAGAATAAGAGAAGCCTGTCAACTTTCTCTGGGTAATTCAGTCTATGGCTTATCTATTACATTCTCCCCCTTCATACTCACTCAGGCCACCTACTCAGTGTCCCTCTTTGTCCAAGCATTGCAGTCATTACCCAGATCGCACCAGTGCCCTCACCTCGGATAAGTTCTGTCCAGAGGAGGGTCTCTGCAGCCTTGTCAGTCGCCGACTTAAAGTCTGTTGGTTCCTCCTTTAGGTTTACATATTCTTAAGCAAAAAAGAAAAAATATGAGTTTTTGCTATCTAGAAATCTCAAGATTCAATTGTACAATAGAAAATTACTGTAATGAAAAGCTCCCAATTAAAGACATCAATGAAAAGCCTAATAAGCAACTGGCAACCAGTACAGGTCTTTCAGTAGCAGGGTCATAGGATTATGATATTATGCACCAGTTAGCAGCCCAGCTGTTGCATATTGCACCAACTGAGGACCCCTCTTCAAGGGAAGCCCCATATAGATTCTGTTGCAATAACCAAGGTGCAATATAACTCAGGCATGGGTTATTGGTGCTAAGTCTAGTTGACTCAGACTTACTTAGAATTAATTTTGTACTTACTGTAGGAAGCTACAGGGGTTGTGTTGCTGAGGCATCGGGCAAGGTTCAGGCACACTGGAGCCCCTGAAGAGTAACAGGAAAAATGGTGCAACATGCCAGAGAGAAGCACACAAAAAAGTCACACAGTGAACACAGACATCTGACCCATGACATCCTGCCAGTTTCTTGAATCTTGACTTGAATTCATCCCAAGAGCAGCCTTAACCATTAGCCTGCCAACCATAGGGAACAAGAAACAGCATGGAACTGAATGCATGAGCGGCTCAGAGTGGTCGCATAGACCAGATGGGCGGGATACAAATCAAACAAACAAACAAGGTAAGGAACCTTTCCCAGTATGGTCAATAGGAGCTGTAACCAGAACATTTGGAGGATGCTTGACACAAATTTTGATACAAATAAATAAATGGGCTGCTAGGCAAATGAGCATGCATGCACGCACTCACATGCACACACACACAGAACATTGAAAATCAAGGAAGGACAAAATTCTCCATCCCTCTTCTGCCAGACCCAAGCAGAATAGAAACATATCCAAGAATAGAAAAAAAAATTAATTGTAAACTGTTCTGGAGGATCCATACCAAACAATTAATATGAGGGACTACTACACACCATCCAAAAGTACACTAAACTCTTTGAAGGAAGTGCGGCCAGCATAGCCGGGCAATGGAAGGTGGTGCACAGCCTTGAGTATAAAATGGAAGAGAGAAGAGCCCTATGTCCAAGGCATATCTATCAGTAGGACACAGCCCCATGTTAAATCAGATCCCCAGCAACTCTGTGACAGAGATAAGAGACTAGTGCAAATTGAGAGTCTTATCTGCCCAACTCTCTTTCAAAGTCACATAGGCTGATGACCTGCACTTTGTCGAAATTAAGGCAAAGCATGCTGCTTATATACCACCCGCACTTTGTGGAAATTAAGGCAAAGCGTGCTGCTTATATACCAACCTATGGTGCTTTAAGCACTCTCTGGGCGGTTTACAAGTTAATTACACAGGCTTCACATTTCCCCGCCCCCCCAAATGAGCCAGATACTAATTTTATTGACCTTGGAAGGATAGGGAAATTAAGGCAAAGCGTGCTGCTTATATACCAACCTATGGTGCTTTAAGCACTCTCTGGGCGGTTTACAAGTTAATTACACAGGCTTCACATTTCCCCGCCCCACCCAGCGAGCCAGATACTAATTTTACTGACCTTGGAAGGATAGAAGGCTGAGTCAACCTTGAGCCAGCTACCTAGGATTGAACCCCAGGTTGTGAGCACAGTTTTGGCTGCAGTACAGCAGTTTAACCACTGTGCCACAAGGCTCTTCAGTAATTCCATAATTTAACTTAATACTTTTTATCTCTTCTGAATCTCACATTATTTAGCTTCCTAGGATCTAACATTATGAGAAATAATCACAATAAAAACCCCATATCCTCTTTCTCTACGCTATGCATATTTTGCACACCCCTTATCAGGTCCTCACATTTACACACACAAGTTAGAATGAAACAATGAAACTGAAAGCAAGAAGAACATCCTGATAACAAGAAGAAATGCCCTTTATGTAGGTGATGGTTAAGAATTAGCCAAAGCATTTCAGTGGTGACTATGAGAACAGTATTGGGAAAGTATTACAAACTCCAAATTCATTTTTTCTAACCTTGCATAAGGCAAGTGGCTTCCATAATGCAAAATACAGACAAAATTCAATAATTCAGTCTCCTCTGTCATCCCTAAGTTGAATAAGCAGGTGTCAACTAGGACACTGAAGAAGTACTCTAAAATATTGTTTCAAAACAACGATAACTCCATATGTCCCTTTTCAGGAACTGTTCAAAGTTCATCTAAAAGATTTCAAACTCTATTGCCCTAGTCAACTGACAAATTTCAACCTGTATTTTCCAACACCCCCAAACAACTGGAAATATCTGTTACTGTACTGTATAGGCTCCTCTCTGAATAAAAATAATTCCATCTTGGATTCATATCCTAGATTCCATAGGAAAGAAAACCTGTGAGTGGGGTGGAACAAAGCTTGCAAAGAAAGATGCATCTTTGCCGCAGGCAGATGGAAACAACAAAAAGTATACAATCATAACAAGCAGTCCATTCCTAGCCAGCAAAGAATGACTCCCTGCTATAACTTTTGAGGGCGCCCCCCCACACACACACAACTTACGCTTAGCATGCCTATACACTTTCTAGTAAGACCTGCCTCTCAGTTGCAAAATCACTACCTAATTTGATTGCATCTCTTCTATGCTAAATCATCTGCTCAGAATAATGATCTAGAGAGGGCCTTCCAATATGAAACCTCATCCTGTGCATGGGCCCTCTGAAGTTGGTACCATCTGGTTCAACAAGTGTCCCTCCCAAACTGGCATGCATAGGCTTCTAGCCTTCTCGCTTCCTTCTTCATATTATCATTTAATATTCTGGGGGCTCTTTGAAGGGCTACAGAAAGAGTTTGATAGCTCAGTGGTTTAGGCATCTGGCTGTGGAGCCAGAGGTTGGGAGTTCAATTCCTCACTGTGCCTTCTTGACAGAGACGACTCGATCCACAGGGTTCCTTCGAGCTCTGTAATTCTAAGATTATTATTGTTGTTTAATGTGTTACAATTTTTATTTATTTGAACATCACATAAATCATCCACTTTTCTAAGATGCTATTCAAGCTTTATGGAGCAGCCAGTACTTGAATCCGTGTTATAATGACTATCATCTTTCAGCATGAAATACATTTTAAAAGCCTTCATCCTAAGCCTCAGCAATACAATTTAGGATATTCCCCTTTCACAAAGAGCAGCTGAAAAGTAACAACTTGTGATGGACCTGCAAAGGAAGCCCTTAAACTGAATTTCAACCAGAAAACAGGTGAAGGACAATACTGAACCCAGCTGTGTTTTTGCTGCAGTCTACCTGTTCGGGAAGCTTGCCGTACGATCCACAGGATAGGCATTTTCAATTTGAAACCAGGCTCCCTCTGTAAAAGAAAACAGTAACAATAATAAAATGCTGCTAGCTCCATTGGTTTTGCTATAAAAGTAAAAAAGCAGCATTGAAACTGATCAGCTAAACCATCATAAAACAACATGCAAACTTTCAAGTTCATCATACCTCAATCAGGCTGGATATTAAGAAAAAATAAAAACAGATACTAGGAAAGGATATTGTTTGCTATGATGAAAAAGTCTGCAATTTGTAATAATCATGACGACAATAATCACCATCATGAGAGTCAGTGTGGTGTTGAGGACAGACTGATGGAATAGGACTCCAGAGACCTGCTCTCAAATCCCTGCTTACCAAGGGGAAACTCACTGGGAAGTAGCAATCGCAAACCAATCCTTGAATATCTCACATACCTCAGAAACGCCATAAGTTGCAAGCAAAATAACAGCATAAAAACATGACATACAATACTTATGATTCCTTAAACTGGAGTAAACCTCACAAGTGGTGCCATAAGTTGCAAGCAAAATAACAGCACAAAAACTTATGATTCCTTAAACTGGAGTAAACCTTGCCATACTGAATACAGTGGGCCTTATTGCTCATTGTACACAAACACGTATAAATGACGGCAAAGCTTTGCACCTTAGCTCTATTTAACCGTTAGAAAGGAAATGTTAAAAAGTGACTTCACGCTATCCCAAAAATTTTCCGAAGAAATCGTGGCTGGTCCATCAGCGACTCCCTGGATAGGGGCACCAGCCCGCACTCCTTCTAGTGTCCCACCCACCCCCAGACCTAAGCGAACACATATGCAGACATCGCAGGATCCTAACAAAATGTATGCGGGAGATTGCCTTGCAGGGCGCTTACATTCAGCGATGCCACCAAGGGAACAACAACGTGTGATGAAGGGAAACTCAAGGACCAACCTGACCCTCTGCCGGGGGAGCAACACGGCGCAAGCGCACATTCGACCGCCTCTCCTCGCTCGGCTTCAAAACCCTCGGATGCGCTTGCGCTGCCAGCGCTCCCCCTTCGTCTAACGCATGCGCAGTTCTACGTCCTCTGAAACCCTCGTGAAGGTCTCGGAGATGAGACGCCGGTTCCAGCCTCTGCCCTTGCGCGGAAAGACTTCCCGGGCGTCTGGAGAAACGCCTGCGTACCCAACATGGCGTCACCCCGAATCCAGAAGGACAAAAAAGACTCACCCGCTGAAAAGCGTAACAGGAGAGCACCGCTCTGCTCCGAGCCGCCGGCGAGCGGGAGGGAGGGAGGGATCAAACGCTGCTAAAGCTGAATGGTCATTGGTTGGCGTTGTCCCACTTTTTCCTCTGATGGGATAGAGCGGCAGGAAAGGGCGGGATGTTTTGGGGGAAAGGGTGGGGTGTGAATGGCTGACATTGACAGTAGCAGTCGGTGATTGGTTATGAGGGGGGCTTCGATTTCACGGTGATTGGCTCAAAACATTTGCCGGCGAGAATGTGTGTGTGTGGGGTTCCTGTGAAAGGCACTCCTAGTTATGCTTTTCTCTTTCTTGGGGGTCGGTGGGAGTCTTAAGACTGGTAAAACGTGGGGCGCGGCTAAACACAAGCCCCCTCAACGCTGTTGTTGTTGTTTTGTGCTGGCCCTCCGCATTTTGTGGACGGTTAGGGGCTGTCCTGCTCGTGTTCCTGCTTTGGTTCCTGCTAAGTGGGGTTGACTCCTGGGCGTCTGAATGAGCCACCACAGACTTAGTAATAGGAAGCCTTCTTGGAGCCCCCTAACAAGGTCGCACAGCACGTTGCTCTCCAGAGGGGGTGACTTTGCACGTCAGACTGAGAGTCCTCAAGTGTTGGGTCATGTCCGCACGAGTAAACTGGAGGGAGAGCGTTCAGACGACACCCCCGCTTTCAGTGAATGGCAGAGAGAGTATGAATACGCACTGGGAATATGATACCCAGTGAAGGGTAGTAGCGGATAGAGTGATGGTCTTGTTAGGGGGCCAGGATGAAACCTTTTTTTAACAAGCAATATTGTGCTTCATTCTTATATTTTCTATGATAGATTTTTCTGTAATAAGTCTTAAGCATTGTATGAGCTATGTAGTCTGTAATCAAAATACCTTGTAACCTTTGTAACAGAACTCTAACAAACTCATGTAACTTTCCATGCTATAAGATTACATTTAGAAGATCTTTCTGCATTCCTGCATACCACAACTGCCTTGATCCTTGCCAGACCAGCAATAAGAGAAATCAACATAATGAGATAAGAGGGAAAAAGGAAAATATCTCTTCAGACATTTAGGCAACATTTTTGCACACCCTGGGTACATTCTGACTTTAGGTCAAGGGAACCTGGGGGCACAACACATATTTACGCATAACCAATGGTTGGAGTTAATTGCCATTTTTAGTCCAATTAGAAGCAGGATCCAAACTTGGGGTTCAGGGAACCAATAAGGGAATGTTTTGCTTTATTGCTCTTTGTGTAAAACTCTATAAAATCCATATGCAATTTCTAATCGGGGCTCTTCTCTGCATTTAAGATGAAGAGTCCAGCTGTACTTTCTAAATAAAGATTGGCTTTAGTATCAGCTGTGCGTCTTAGCCTGTTTTCCTTGCTGGAGATTCTGAACTTTAATTTCAAAGGTAACAGTCGTGGAAATGCGGGAGCAAGGGTGGGGTGGCGGGTTAACATGGCCAATCCGCCTGCAAGCGTCTCAGTTTCTGAGCAATGTTTCCTAACCTGGGAGTCACAACGTGTATTGAGGGGGGTTGCGGGTCACCTTACATGTGTTGTAGCCCACTAAATAATTTCTTCCTTGCCCTTTTGGAGCAGAATATTAAAGTTAGTCTGTATGTATGTGAAACAAGTCCTTTAGGGTAGTGGTCCCCAAGCTTGGGCCTCCAGATGTTCTTGGACTACAACTCCAAGAAGCCTTCAGCACCTCTGCTAGCAGGATTTCTGGGAGTGGAACATCTGGAGGCCCACGGTTGGGGACCACTGCTTTAGGGGAGAAAGAAGCCTCTACTTTCTGAGAAGAGATGACTTTTCCCCATTAAAACGCTTTTTATGCAGACATGGTGAAGGGTGTGTGTGTCGCAAGTTACTTGGCTATTATACAAGGGGGTTGCAACTTGGAAAAAATTGGGAACCACAGCCTAGAGGAACAGTCCCCACTCACATGATAAGCCCAGGCTTCTGTTTCTTTGTTAGGCCACTTTTCACTTTAATGGGGCAGTTGGAGCTTTCTGTTTGTCACCATCATGGATTGATACCAGGGCACCATGTTTCCCATTTTTCAGAGGAGAAACTGAGTTTATGATGATGCTCATTAAAGCCTGCTTCAGTAAATGGTGATTTACTATTATAAACAGTAACTGCCATCGATAAATGGCTAATTCTCTACCACTCTCCTTTTTCTCCATCCCATGATCCTCCAGGAAAAACAGTGGGGAAGTGTACACCAGATATGAGAATGAGTAAATTGAAGCAAGGTAGCAAGAGTAATGGGCAGGAGGATAAAGAGTTAGGTGGAAAATAGACCTGAATCTTCTTGGTGTTCACATAAGGTTTGTGTAACATGCCACAGGTCATTGCAGCTAACTGATGAGGTGCTGGGTGTCTCTCAGTTGTGTGCCTCGCTATACATCTGATTGTGCAACTAAGATGTACCTGAGTAAGATATAGGGAAAGGTTCCCCTTGACATTTTTAGTCCAGTTGTCTGACTCTAGGGGGCGGCGTTCATCCCGCTTTTCAAGCCATAGAGCCAGCGCCTGTCCGAAGACAGTTTCCGTTGTCACGTGGCCAGCGTTTTACCTTCCCACCGAGATGGTACAGTACTTATTTATCTACTTGCATTTACATGCTTTCGAACTGCTAGGTTGGCGAGGAGCTGGGATAAAGCGATGGGAGCTCACTCTGTTGCGTGGATTCGATCTTACGACTGCTGGTCTTCTGACCCTGCAGTACAAGCTTCTGCGGTTTAGCCCACAGTGCCACCACATCACTATATGTACCTGAGTAATTAGCAGCAATTAGCCAGACCAAGTTATACAGACCTTGCGTGAACACTAGTAAGATTCCCACCATTGTATGAATCAGTGGGAGCAGTAAATTGCAGAAGGACATGGAAACTTAAGAAAGGAGCGTCTTGACACTAAAAGTGAAATGAAGCGTAACAGTTGATCATGAATATAGGTAGATAAGGGCACTAAAAAAACACCATCTACTTTTGCCTGATTTCACCCTAGTCTGTCATTATGTTTCAGGACAGTCTGTTTTTAACTGTTTTGACTGTGTGGCAGCAGCATAAGGCACTTTACTGTTTCTATCAGATGGTGCATTTCATGAACGAAAAAAGTAAATCTCAGGATTTTTCTGCAGATCTTGATTGCATACCAAGAAACATGGGGTTAATTCTCCATAGAGTACACGAGGTAATTAGTGTATGATCAGTCCTCTGTGACTGTTGTGTGATTAATGGGGTGACTTAGCAGCAGTACGGGTATTGGTTCAACTCTTCCAAACTAGTATGGCTTTTCATTTTTTCCACTGCAGCTGGCTTGCCTCTGCAAAGTGTCCATACAAAGGCAATTAAGTAGAAAGGCAACAACTAGCTATGCTAGAAGGTTCCCAGTACTTTGTTTCTGTATAGCCAGATATCCTGTGCAGTGTGGTCCAATGTGTATGTTCATTTGGAAGTAAGTCCCAGTGCATCTAGTGGGGTTTGTTCACAACACATGAATAGTCAAGTTTGCATGGAGAAAAATGTTAGTTTATTAAAATACCTTTATACATACTCTATATTGCAGCATTTGGCTCTTCCTCATCCCACTTTGGGATGTTTGCCCAAGTCTTCCACCTCACTCTGCCTTCCAATGGACCACCCCCACCTCCAGCTCTTCCTCAGCTTCTCCTTTATCCTCCTCTTGGTGGGGGTTTTCTTTGACAGGCTTTTCTCCACCTTTCTAATTTTCCCACCACTCTGGCTCTCTCTAATCTCTTGGTCCTAGTCGAGAGTTCACTCAGGTTATGCCCTGGAGAAGGGATCTACCCTGTGCCTGCCAGATATCCTTGGCAGGACAGTGGTATGTGGGAACAGACCCTTCCTAATTGCCCAAACTCATTTGCTCACAACCACGCAATGCACTCTGTTGACTAGTAACACTACATAAATGATAAATAACATACACCAGGAAGTGCTAGACTATAATGCAAGATCTTTATTACAGAAGGAAAACACTGACTGGCAAAACACAGGATTGCACAGGAAATGTCAGTAAGTCAGCAATCTTAACAAATTGCTAGAAACCCCCTTTGAATTGATAGGACTTACTTCTGAGTAAACACAACTAAGATTGCATAGTGTAGAGATTATTGTTATGTCAAGGAATCTAGCAATGCATGATCCACGTAGGGGGACATCTCATCCCACCTTTTCAGATCAAAGAACTGCCCTTGCGTATGGAGTTAAGAATATGACTACTGTACAGAAGCTGATGTTGGAAGAATTGCTATTTGCTAAAAAGGGCATGTTGGAGAGACAGGTCAACTGCATCACTGATAAATTGTATGTTATTTGATATAGGTATGTTTTTTGAATTGGTTTAACCTCAGTATATTCAGCCAAGAATAGTTTCATCACTCTTTAGAGTCCATTCAGTACCCTGCATTTCTTGCACTGATGAGGGAGATCACTCTAGTGTACAGGTAGAGCACTTTTAATCAGTCTTTACAAAAATATTCTAAAACTACAAAAGTATAGTGCTCATGGACATAAAATCAGAATTCGCTTCATAAAACTGTTAAGAGGGTAATTAAGCTCTGGGTAGAAGCCACATGTTCAGTTAAATTAAAGTAGGTGGTTCTAAGTGTAGGAACAGTGTGTGTGTGTTCTGCAGCCAACCTCTTGGCAAAGAGTTACAGAGCAACACAAAATTGTTCTGATAAAACTACCCAATCACAGCAGAGGAACATGTGTCCATCCATATGTTACTGGACCCCAGTAACCCTCATCCCCAGGCAGAACAGCCAGTGCTGAAGGATGATGGGAACACATTCATTAACAGTTAGATGGCCACACATTCCCTGCTTTTGATCTAAATTTTCAGCATAGGTGAGTACTGTCATGGTTTATGGTAAAGAGAGCAAGACATGGGGTGAGGAACTAAAATTATGAAGCACATCTTTTTCAGAAGGAAGAATTCTTTGAAGGGCTTTCTAAGAGGTGTGTCAAGATCCCAGGGTCAACACATGAAGAAACAAGCCTCCTCCTCAGCAGGTCTGCTCTTCATAGCTGCTCCTGGACCACAAGAGGCCTGCGCAAGGCAAAAGGCTCACATCAGTGAGCACATGCCCTTGCGCTTGACCTCAAGAGCAGACAGGAGCCGCCCCAGGTTGCGCTCAGCATAGGGTGGGTAGCGGATGGTGTTGAGGACCTCCAGGCCGATGAAGCGTGATAGGCAGCCACGATGGTGAGTGAAGGTGTCAAAGCTGAACTTGCCGTGGTATTTGCCAAAGCCACTGCATCCTACCAACGTAAGAAGAAAAATGCAAATTAAAAACATGCTCACTGCTCAGATCACGCAGCTTGCCACACAGCCTGTGCAGCCCTTTCCTTTATTCTTTTCATCCAGGGAGATTTGCAGGCATGCCCATACAACCTCTCTCTTCACAATGGTGTTTACATTGGTGATGTAAGCGTGGCCAGCAAACTGTAAGATTTATCAAATAAATGCCTTTTTTAACAAACCCAAGCACAGACTTGTTGGATCAGTCATTTATTAAGTACTCTGTGCTGTGGGTGTTTGGTTTCAGTCTTGCTGGTCCTTATCAGGATGAATTACGAGGGATATGGATTTTTCAAAGAGCTGGACAAGTCTGTACCATACTCTGCATTGTATCCCTCTTTAGGGCTTGACCTCTAGGACCTATCATTGTCAAGTGGTACTTGCTTCTCCCACAGTAATCTTTATGATGTTGGTGCAGATGCTACATTAGGAAACCTGGCCCCATTAGGCCTGAAGCATGAAACAGAAAAATAAGACAGCGACTCCAAAATAGTTCTCCAACAAGCCACGACCCCACATACCCTTTCAAGCAGCAAATTATTTGAAGGCTTCCACAATAGTGGATACACTGTTGTGAGAAGACAGAGGGAGATAACTCAAACCTGTTACTGTGACAGTCTTCCATCTGCAACAATTTTGGTCTACTTGGTGCCAGCTCTAAATTTTAAAAATGGAGGCAACTCCTGATCTGAGCTAGTATAGCTCAGTGGGCTGGAGTGTGTTGCCAGGAGTTTGAATGACTAAATTCCCCCAGAACATTTATGGCTGATGGGATTGCCTGCTTTGCCCCCTTGGACAGGGAGCATAATCCCACAGCAACTCCAGAAGGAGGGAGAGGTACACCATGTCTGAGTTCTTTCTATCCATAAAACATTGGGAGGGTCACCCTAAGTTGGAATCAATTTGATGGCACAGGATTATCAAATATTATTTCTGTTCCTCCTCTTTAATCATGGCATTAACTGACAGAGGGACAACTACACTGACCATTGACCCTACAATCTGCAATGGCTTAGGTGCAGAAAAAAATTATTCATTTAATTTATTTATTTAAAATATTTCTATGCTGCCTTTCTTCCCAAAAGTACCCAAGGTGGTATAGAAATATTTTAAATAAATAAAATGAATTCTTCTGTACCTAACCCATTGCAAATTGTTGGGTCACCAAAAGGACCCAATGTGAATTAAAACCCAGTGACTACACAACCTAAATCTCAGTGTTGGGAAGCCCAATGTGGAATCATCTCTTTTTAGTCAGGAATAATCTTTTTTGTTGTTTAGCCAACAGGGGAGGTTTAAGTGTGTTCCAATTGGGTTGAAATTGTTTTGGTCTGCTTTCTGCCCTGCGTGACTCCCTGATCGAAAGGCAAAGGGGTGCTCACAGGTGTGATTCCCCTCAACCAAGCACCTGCTGTACACAAACAGAGTGGTTTTTTAAAAAAGTCTTCAAGGCAACACTGAAACACCAATTTTCTAGATCACTTCAAAAAATGTATTTTCTTAAAAAAAAAAAAGAGGTGGAAATTGACAATTGGCACCTTGTCAAAGCAGCCCCTGCTGTGCAAACATGGCTCTCTGCCTCTGCCCCTGCTGATTCCTATGGATCGATTGATATCTGGACAGCTCTAGCTATTTTACCCTCAAAACCCTGACTTATGTAGATCACAGTGGATCCAAGCGTATGTATTTTTTCCACTGTGTAGTCAACACTCTCAGCCAGAAAATTGCACCAAGGGAGCTCTATGCCTACTGTACTGAGCAGAAGAACCTGCCAAAAGATCTCCTCATAAGTATGTAAATTAGTCTGCAGCCTGACATGACCCAAGGGAGTGCTTCCTTACAATTACTCCATTCATTGCCTGAGATCTGTAAATATGCCAAGAATTGTATAGAACAGAACTTTACAAAGAATTTGGCTTGTCCCTGGAAATTCTGAATCACAGCTGATGCAGATGATACAACCTTGCATATTACGAGACTGGGAGGAAAGATAAACACAAAATAGAGAAGAAAAAGATAGCAAAAGGATAGAAACCTAGTCTTACCAATGCCACCAAATGGTAGAGAGGGCAGTACTGTGTGCATCAAGGTATCATTGCCACAAAAGCCACCACTGCTGGTACAAGCCAATACATGGTTCACAACCTATAAAGTTTAAAGAAGAACAAAAGATGATCAGGAGCCATGATTTCCCCACTCTCCCACCCCCCAAAATCGAAGAGTTTCCATTTTGTAACATGGGATGATGTAGTTATTCCCAGGAACATCCTTCTAACAATGTCTATTCTACAGAACATGATGCTTCAGAATAAAAGAAAATAAAGAGTGAGGCTGGTGGGATCCTTTACCAGCAATACCTAGTCATTTGTATTTCCAAGCTCGCTCACATACCCAAAGCACTTGAAAAGAGGATGGTGTGTTTGTCTGTTTCAGATTTTGATGGGACGGGGAGGAAGAGGTGGACAAAATGATGTGGCATATTAAAGTTCACAGATAAACAAATTTGATAATCTTTTTTGTTGTTGTTTAGTCATTAAGTCATGTCCGACTCTTCGTGACCCCATGGACCAGAGCAAACCAGGCCCTCCTCTCTTCCACTGCCTCCCAGAGTTTGGTCAAATTCATGTTGGTTGCTTCGATGACACTGTCCAACCATCTCGTCCTCTGTCGTCCCCTTCTCCTCTTGCCTTCACACTTTCCCAACATCAGTGTCTTTTTCAGGGAGTCTTCTCTTCTCATGAGATGGCCAAAATATTGGGGCCTCAGCTTCAGGATCTGTCCCTCCGGTGAGCACTCAGGGTTGATTTCCTTTAGAATTGATAGGTTTGTTCTCTTTGCAGTCCAGGGGACTCTCAAGAGTCTCCTCCAGCACCACAATTCAAAAGCATCAATTCTTCAGTGGTCAGTCTTCTTTATGGCCCAGCTCTCACTTCCATACATCACTACTGGAAAAACCATAGCTTTGATTATGCGGATCGTTGTCGGCAAGGTGATGCCTCTGCTTTTTAAGATGCTGTCTAGGTTTGTCATCTCTTTCCTCCCAAGAAGCAGGCGTCTTTTAATTCCATGGCTGCTGTCTCCATCTGCAGTGATCATGGAGCCCAAGAAAGTAAAATCTGTCACTGCCTCCATATCTCCCTCTTCTATGTGCCAGGAGGTGATGGGACCAGTGGCCATGATCTTAGCTTTTTTTTGATGTTGAGCTTCAGACCATTTTTTTGCACTCTCCTCTTTCACCCTCATTAAAAGTTTCTTTAATTCCTCCTCACTTTCTGCCATCAGAGTGGTATCACCTACATATCCGAGGTTGTTGATATTTCTTCCAGCAGTCTTAATTCTGGCTTGGGATTTATTCAGCATGCCTTTCTCATTATGTATTCTGCATATAAATATGCAGGGAGACAATATACAACCTTGTTGTATTTCTTTCCCAATTTTGAACCAATCAGTTGTCCCATATCCAGTTCTAACTGTTGCTTCCTGTCCCACATATAGGTTTCTCAGGAGGTAGATAAGGTGATCAGG